TAGAGGATTTTCTTTTGGAAGGGTCTTGATTCCAACAATTTTCCATCATTTCAAGATAAAATGAAGGTATTTCTTCTCTTTTAAATTTAGGGCGAATGCCTTTGCATATATCAATTGATAGAAGATGGTCATGTTCCACATCGTTAAACGGTTGATTTCCAGTAGCAATCAAATACATAATCATTCCTAAAGCATATATGTCTGCAGCTTGAGTGTACGGCTTTCCTAATAATACTTCAGGCGGTAAATAAGGCAAAACTCCGAAAATGTCACCATTTGATTTCATCTCATTATCAGCTGGACCGCTTAATCCCATATCTGAAATACAAGTATACGAGCTATCTCTTATCAAAAGGTTACCAGAATGGAAATCTCTATGAATAAACCCATTCATGTGAATAATATTGAGCCCTTCAATAATTTGATGAAGAATATATAAATTATCTACCCAATTATGCTTGTTTTTATCGGAATTTAACCAATCACACAGATTTCCTATCATCAATTCAAGAACCATAATATATTCTTTAGATTGTGGATTTTGTGAGATACCAAAACATCGAAGTACTCCATTATCATGAAGTTCGATTGGATAATATCTAATCTATTGAGATAAAGCATAATCAAGATTAAATAGCGTAGTGAATAAATTATATGATACATTATGAATTATGAAATCTACCTCATTTAAAAAATCATCATTGATATCTTCTGAATCATGCAAACACTTTAGAGCGACGCACTCATCGTACCGATTAAATCTATTACCTTCCTCATTGTACTGTCTTAAAATTCCATTTGTCCAAACCGCAGAATAAATTGTGGCGAATCCACCTTTTCCAATTTGGGTGACCTCTTCAAATTTTTCGTAAGGTATCCACTCAAAGAATTCATATGGACTTCTTGCTTTTTGTTGTTGACTTCTTATGAAATCATCAATTTTTTTATTTCCACTCCAGGCACATATATTATCTTGTGCATATTTCACTGAGCAATTTTTGCACCAACGGATTTTTGAATAATCATATACCTCTACATGTGAATAAAGGTTTCCACACTTTAAACAGGGTTCATCGTTTTCATTAAAATAAATTTCATTATCTACAAATAATGCTGAATTCATGGTAGCCTAATAAATCAATTTATGAAAGCAAAGTATTTTTTTTTTTTTTAAAAAAAAAAAAGCTCTAATCAAATTTAGAACTTAGGTAAAGATCTACATAATAGGAGTATTGTTAGGAATATGTGTGGTGTGTTATTGGCTGATCACTTTATTCTCGAATGTTTTGATCCCACGATTATTTATATAATTGAAAAAATCCTACAAATTTATGAAAGGGAGAAGAATTGAATTTAGATAATATCAGAAAGAAAAAAGTATAAACGTTGTCAAAATTTATCATAAATAGCGTTTGATTAATTAGTCAAGTAGATATAAGGCACAGTTTGTGAGTGAATTAAATAAATTTGATTTTTTTTGCGAATTATTTCATATATAATAATTTTACCTAAAATTTAAAAATTTAAATATTATTTTATTTATTTTCACATATTTTTAAGATTTATCTTGGGTGATGGCCGCTTCCGTTATTATGACCAAAGAAATATTCGTATTATAACTATAACATAAAGGGTTATTATTTTTTGAACCGAATTGACGACTATGACCACCAATAAAACAAATTCTCGAATCGAATCTTTGCTTAAAATTCTGGTATAAGTGGTCGACCGTCAAAGGTTAAGGATCCTAGCTCTTGAAGATCCATGCTTTTTTAACGCTTAAACTTCCTTCATAAACATCTAGGTTCGTGACTTCATGACGACCAACGAAATAACGAAATAGGATTTACGTCACGTTAATTGCGTTATTTTATGACTTATATAAAGTCTGCGTTCCTTTCCATTTATAAAATACAAGGCTCAGATTATGCAATTAAACTTTAAATTTTTTAAAATATTCATCTCCAAATATAATTTGCTAATTTTTTTTTTTTTTTTTGGCAAATACGTCAAGATTTAACATTAACTTAGAAAATAATATTTTGAAGTTTCCTTCCTCCCTTTCAATTGCAAATTGCAAAGCGTCCATATAACAATCTATTATTATCTTTCGTGATAGGATTTTTGGTGATTTCATAATAATCGAAAATGAAATATGTAACGAAGCAAATTTTAATTAAAGCTTTCATCAATTACTGATTTGATTTCTCCTTGAGACCTTTATGTTGAAAGATCTTTGATAATTATTCAAAATCTAATCTTCATAAATTTGCAAAATCCCCCCCCTCCTCTGACACTAAAATTTAACGAACCAATATTTTGATCAAATATATATATATATATATATTGTGGCACAGAATGTATATTTGGATTCCAATCGTTACGAAAAGTGATTTTATTGATTGAATGACTGGTTAAATGGATGTTCAAGGTTAAGGAATCCTCATATTCATAACACAGGAGCTGCAATATTTTTTAATCATTAATTTGGTTAATATTTCCAAATTTAAGAGTAGTTCACGTGAAATAAAACATTTTATATACTTTGTTAAAAATTTTCTTGCTAAAGATTCAATAAATTCTACATTCAAATTGAAGTTTAAATCATAAGTAACAAAGTTTAGCTCAGTATTCGCGTCACCGATGTCAAAATAATTCAGATTATTTTATTTAAAAAACTAAGGTGGTCTGAGACGTAACTCAACAATCCCACATTACCACTACCCCGCTATTCAAACATAATTTAAATTATAAAAGGAAATATAATACGCCCGCGATCGACCTGAAAAGTAAATAAAAAAAATTGAATACAAACTTGAAATAACTGAATAAATAAAAAACAATATAATGAAAAAAATCTGATGAAATTAACAGAAATCGATTTTAAAAATGAAATAATGTAAAATATAATCTTTTATGGATCCAGTCCGAAAGCTAAAAAAAATAAAATTAAGGCTACCGACAACATTGCTGAAAGAAATCCAAAGGATCATAAATATAATTTATCGTAAAAGTAGAGATGGTCATGATCAATATTATTCGTAGTAAATGTAATTGGATAGGAGTTTGTATTTTGATTATTATAACTAAGGAGGATGATACTATTATCGGTGCAAACAAGCGTATTATGAAAGTAAAATTTTGGATGCAAGCACTTTTAACATGGAAGAAATGGAGATTTTTTGAGTTTATCAAAGGTTTATGTTAAATAATTTGGTCAGATATAGTGTTTAAATTGATATTATACCGCAATCATTGGTTTAAAATGTTTTTCGAACTTTTTTTTCTGAGCTCTCATTTAATCGCAGAACTTGGTTATAAAGGGACAAAAAAACCGGAAAAAAAATTTTCCGCGGAATAAAACCGCTCATAATATTAAAATATGATCGTTAGGTTAGCGAGTATAACTTTCTTTATTTTATATTACTATACTACTTATTAATAATAGATTTTTTTACTTTTTCCCTATCGCTATCTTTCCTTCCCCCAAACTTTTTTGAGAAAAATTCAATTAGAAAACATGACAAGAAAATTTTTCTGAAGTTATCGACTGGCCTTCTAACAGTCCTGACATGAATCCAAATCTCTGGAGCATTGTTAAAAGAAATGTGGAGAAAAAAAAATGCCATAATAGATTAGCAGAATGGGATGATATTCGTAAAGAGCAATTTTGTAATTCCGGATCTGATTTTTTTGTCCCACATTGTACCTTGACCGATGAAGTTACATTCCTTGATCTTTTTCGTAGCATCTGATGAATTGAATTGGATTAGTGATATTGAAAGTATATTTTATTAAAAATAATTTGATTTAAATTCTTCAAAAGTTCAAGTGGTTGGTTAATATTAAAAAGACGAAAATCACTATTGTGGCTTTAGATACAAGTAGATTTTTATATTAGAAGCAACCAGGATTATAGATTACTTGTAACGTGTTATAAAGTGTAAAAAAATTTTGGAAAGAAAATGAAATATTTTTTTTTTTTTTTTTTTTTTTTTTTTTTTTTTATAAAAAAAGTACTCCTTGCAATTTAGGAAATATTTTAAAAAAGACTAAAAATTAATATATTAAGCAAAATGTATCATCAATAAAGAAGAATTCAAAGAATAAAACCAAAGAAAATAAAAAAATTTAATGCACCCTACCCTTCGCAGATTTGACCAAGAAACAAATAATAAACTTCAAACTTCTCTTCTTTCGATATTTGCTGGCAATCGAATCCTACAATATTAGTAAGTGCGCAACTATTTTTTATTCACGTGACTTATCCTATCTTCCGACGATCGATTAATTAATCACGAGGCAGTGAGAAAGGCATTAAATGGTCTGGTATGATTTTGATCGATTATTATTATTCAATTAAATTTTGGAGAGTATTCTAATTCTAATTGTATTAGTATTATAGTGAAACAACTCCAGTACACCCTTTTTTAAGAATTTTTTTTTTTTTATAGACTAGTTTAGGGGAAAGTAAAAAATTATTGATTCTCGAGAATCGATTTTACAATACTTCAAATTAATAATATATCGTCAAAATTAGTCAAAAAAAAAAATAAATAATAAAGAGTATGAATAAACGTCTCTATCAAAATTACTTCTTTCAGATAACTCCCGTTCTTTTTGAGTTTATGTTAATCAATTGCTATAGATGGACGTACATCATTAACATATATAAAGCAAGCGCCAAAAAGCGTGAGACTTTGATATTTTATATGTATGTTATGAGAAATCCGACTATAAAAATGCAACTTTCTTGATCACACAAATAAGGAAACTAAAAATACTGTAAATAAACAACATCACATACTGTATATTATCGTAAAAAATTATTTTTACCTAAATTAATTCGATCAACATGTTGAAGTTACCGTTATCAGAAAACTCCAGAAGATATTGATATTATTGTCGATATAAGAAACCTTGGGTTGCTAAATAATTTAGAAGAACATATTCCCAAAATTGTCGTATTCGGTAATCTATCAAGCGGCAAAAGATCCATTATGACAAGGTTAACCGGTGGCTTACCAATGCCAAGGTAACTATATTTAATATAAATTTCTTGATGTGTATATGTGTATATAAAAACATCATATCATTACAGAGCATCCACGTCTCCTTACGAAATATGTATCCATCAAACTGAGGAACCAACACGTAAAATCACATTACGTTACATAGAAGACAGTAATCGTAGAGTGATACAACCAAGAGTAGTAGAATTTGCCGATATAACGAATTCGAGTAAAATGGACGTTGAAAACAAATTGCGTGACGCCCAACGTTATGTACAAAACCCAAGTATTAGTGATATCAATTCACAATTGCCAAATGATCAAAGTAATGATGAGAGTTACCATTTACAAAAAATTCTGTATGTATTACAATCGGTGGACCTTCGCAAAATTATGGTTTGTCTATGGTTGTTTTACCAAGATTACCAGGTAAATATGTGATATTTTCAAGAACAATTTTATTTAACGCGCTAATTGTTCGCACCTTTGATCGTCTTGTTCAGAATCCTTCGAAGAGTACGCATCCTTTACAATGTCCTTTATTGAGAAATGTGTTGAAAAAGACTCGGCAATCCTGGTTCCAATCATTACCGCAAACGCAGATATTGCTACACAATTTGCATGGAGGTTTGCACGTGAAGTAGATCCGGACGGTTTACGTACCGTAGGAGTCTTGACAAAAATTGATTGTGTCCCAATTGATGATGAAAAAAGCATTTGGAACTTGAAAAGGTAAAGGGGAACATCATATTGCAAATTGGTTTTATGTAACGAGAAATCGATCAAGCGTAAAACCGGAAGAATCAGATGATTCGTTAGAAAGTGACACAATTAAGAAACTTAGAAATCACAGAACTTGGAAAGATGTACCAATTAATAAATTTGGCATACAAAATTTTGTCATGAAATTAATTGGATTACAAGGTCTGTCATATCAACGGTCATGGCCAAAAATAATTACCCTTTTGGAAGATAAAATGGATGATTATAAAGAAATGTTAAATAGCCTTCCTAAACTTGTTGAAAGGCAAACCATCCATACGTTTCTTGGATGTTGATGAAATATTAAAGAACCTTCCGCATAAACCTGTTGAAAATCCAAGTCGTATCTTGGAATTAATTATAAAATTTGACAAAGTATTTACTAATAATGAATACGTAGACCATAAGTTATATCGTGGTCAACAATGGAACTTTAGTCAGTTCAATCAAGCATTATTAAATGCTCGTCCAATATATAAACGAAGGGGTAACAAATACCGAAATTTTTGATCCCATACAGCCTAATATAAATAAAGATTATGGCGATCATGCATGGACAATAGATCAACTTAACGAGACTGTGCAAGAAAGTCAAGGAGGACTATTGGATGGTCATTTTCCATATAGAGCTGTAATTTATATTGTTGAATTACATCGATTGGATTGGTTTTCGATTTCTGTCAGATTATTGGATAAAAGTTACGATTGGGTTGCTCAATTTATTAATGAATTAATAAACAATACATTTGAAGAATTTCCAAATATTATCGAAGGAATCAAGTAAGAACTTTTTACGTGTTTACTCGTGATTTATAAATGAAGTACTCATTTTTTTGTTTTTTTAAAAAAAAAAATTAATTATAGAAACATTTTACGCGACTTATTAAGAAAATGCAATGATGAAACATTAGATCGTCTTGCAGTGATGGAGCATATTTCAGCTAGTAGATCTCGTTATGTAACTGATGAAACCAGCCTTCTTAAAAAACAATCAAAATATTTAACCAAGCTACAAAATTTTGCAGCCAGTTCCAAGCAAATGAATAAAGAATTAAAGGCAGTTCTTGAATTAGGCTCTGAATTATTTGACATGATGTATTATGATGAAAATGAAGAAGAGAATAATGCCACTAGAAAAAATAAATATTTGGATAAATTAATAAGTGTAATTTCTATTGCCACGGTATGTCATTTAGCGTAATATCGCGTAATATCACGTATTAAAATATTAATACTTTTACAAAATATATTTAAATCTTTTATTTTTAGGGAGTGTTATCATATTGGAAGATTACCTATTCAAAATATCGAGAAAATGTTTCACATATAGTAGAACGTTATCTTGTACATCAATTTGCTATTAATTTAGGGATCCATTTACGTACAGATTTAATATTATTAGCAGCAGAACAGAATACGGCAATTGACAATATAAAATTGGAGAGTTTGTAAGATGAAGATCCACCAGTATCTAGCCAACGTGCAGAATGGCAAAATAATGTTAATGCTCTCGTGTTCGAAATATCTTGTTTAAGAGGACTTATTTAAAATTATATCCATAGTTTATGAATATAATCCTCAATTTATTCATGAGTACTTTGTGTCAGATTTTTTTTTGTTTTCTCAACTAAACTTTATCTATGTATTTTTTCATATAAGCAAAATATCATTTAACCTTATTTTTACGGCCTTAAATATCTATACATAACGTACTGTATTTTATTATTTAATAAACAATCATGATTTACCTCTTTAAATTTGTACAACTTAATTGTTACGTAATTCACGTCTTTATAATTACTGCGTAATGCATCAGATGATATCGTTAAAACATTTTTTGAAACTTAGCGAATGGTTTCCAGATTAAATCACTCTTTTATGGTTTTTACTTGAAGCATTAATAATGATTTCATAAGCCCCTTCTCGACATTTCAATAAAATATATCGAACGAACTTATTAGTTTTAATAGGTCCCGATACTTAGATATATACATGATTTCATGATTCCCCGTGACAAATATTTCACGAAACAATTTTCAAATTCCCATAAAAATGAAAAAATGAGGGCGTGACACTGGGGCGGTATCATATAAATTTAAGGATTATATAATTTCTGCCGACATTAATTTCCATCGGTTCGGTTAATGAAATTTTATTGAATACGATAATACAATTTATTCATTTTATATAAAGCCTTTAAATATGCTAATCTTCATCTGCTACTCTGACTCTCTTAAATCCAATTGTTTAACATTCTACGTAATTATATTTTCAAATCTAGATTACACAATGGTTGACGTTTTCTTTGTTCCCGGATCATTTTAATACTAGATTTACTAATATTCTCGAGCCAATAGAAAAGGCTTGGTTTTGATTGTTATTAATTCTTGATTTTCTATCCTATCAAATTTATTTGCTACATACCGATACTTCAAACTTCAAATCATGCTCTTTAATAATAGATTTTTAAAGAATAATAAAGCTCTACATTATATTAATCGATGATTACCTCATTTAGCTTTTAAAAATGAAATGTCAGACTTAAGCCTTTTTTGCTTATAATCTCATCGATTATTTTATTTGTTATGTTTTGCAAATTTCTATCGAAGATTTACAATAAAATTTCTATTGGGAAAATTTATTCCTATTTGAGAATGTTCCGAGAGCTTTTTCAGTATTGTGTTTATGACTCCGTTTGCGGAGAAACTTTATTTTTTTTTTAGTAGTTGTATTATTTAAAGGACGAGGTAATAAACGTAATGCAAATTGCTACAGTTGGATAAACTGAAGATTTTTTATTACGTTCTTTATGTTACACGAATTCTATATAACAACCGGGACTGTGGAACACAAATAAAATTCAAAAAAAAAAACCTTTCAATTATCACGGCACACATAAATATCTCATGAGAACATGGAAACACAAATAAAACTACCGGATTTAGTAAATCGATATAATTTCTTAGCATCTCATTAGTTAAATTATTTATAAATGATAACGTTTCCTTAAATGGTAAAGCAAAATATGATACTGTTCAGCTTTTACCTATATCCGAAATCATTTGAAAATCCAAAAAATCCAAAGTTTATGTCGGATATACACTTTGATTGTTTGAAATGCCTACACCTTCAATTAAATACCTCAATGGCATGACTGGATCAACTTCACAAAGTCTAAGTTATTTAAGAATGTTTAGAGAGTTTTAATTTATTAATTTTGGAGTATTAATTTTGGAGTATTAATGAACTTTTTTTAAAAAAAAAGCGTTTTATTTTGTGAAAGAGACGGATATTTGGAGTATTTTCGAAAATTCTAAAATGAAAATTATGAGAAGGATCCAGAGTTATTAAAGAAAGAAAATATAGCTTCGTTATAGTAAATTTATTACAAAATAATTTAAATTATATAAAATAGCTTAATATAACAAAATCTTCAATAGTAATTTTTGTTATAGGACCATACATAGTTTTGATTTAATTAGTTAACAGCGCACCCCAATGGGACATGGGATATAGGATTTTAAATATAGTATGGGATTTGGGATGGGATGGGATGGGATTCTATATGGGAAGCAACTATACTTGAACTGCATACCGCGCAAGCAAGCCCAGAAAGTCTTTGAGTCAAAACGCGCTGGATTAGTAGTTGTCATTCCTCTGCAATATAAATATATATCCATCATTCCTTTTGTAAATGATCGTTCCAAGTATTTAAAAACGACAAAGTATTTTTGAAATCTCGGTGAAGGATCAAGAAAGTATGATACGTATCGATTTTCACGATTTTTTAAGTATGAGCTTTTGCTGAGGGTAGCTCATATCTAAGATATGGTTCAACTTTCTCATGAGTATTTCATGGTATTTTATTTTGTGGATAAACGATATTTACTTTCGAATTTATGTCCAGTGGTGATGGATATAATCCTGATGTAAGTGTTCCTAATCAGCTCCACGGCAGAGAAGGTCGAGACAGCTTAACGCCGCTTAATTGAAAAAATACTTTTTATGCTCAAATTAGTGATCTGATGATATTGTTACAATTGGCAAGTGATTTCCTTTTTTGACAAATAAAAAAAAAAAAGGCTTTTTGAGATGAACGACTTCAGTGCTGCGTATTATTTAGTGCGTCCCCTTAGATAAGAATTATTAATACTATAGTTCATCCGTACTTTTTGACAACGCCATATGGTGAATTAATATAATGAATTTTTTTTTTATTTTATTTTTTATATATAAAAAAAATTTTTTTAAATGATAATGTTATCGTTAAAATTAAAATAAGATAAAGCTTATAAAAGAGTTTAAGGGTGATATGTTGCTGCTAAACTTAATACTTTTTAGATGCCAACATTCGTTGAAAAGTATGTGAGAGGCCAAAATGATATCTTTGTTATTAGTAATAATGTTATTTTATTTTTTATAATATAATTTAATCAAACATTATGTCAATAAAATTTTTTTTGTATAAAATGATTAAATATTTCTTATGTAGTGATTATAATTTTTTTTTTTTTTTTTTTTTGATTCAAAGATATTGATTATAATGATCGATAAGTTTTTTCCCCAAAGTTTCGTTCGGGCTAATTTTTAGTGAAACAAAAATATATAAAAATGGGAATAATCATAATCATCAAATAAACTTCTCTCTTTCTTCTTCCTCCCTTTTTTTTAACATGACATGTTCAAAAATTTTCAATGGTGATTTACCAGATATTACAAATTTTATTATACAATATTTACGAAATGATTTAATTCGTGCATTTTGGTCAATCAGCATCTATGTCAGGTTGCAATTCCCATACTTTGGGAGGATCCCTTTTCTGTTAATTATCGTTCTAGAAATGCTAGCAATTTACTTGACTTTTATTTTTCATATTTTAATCAAGAAAATAAAGCAAGGTTAAAAAGCTTTAGATTTACAACCAATCTGTCGTTTAGTCCACTTTTTAATTATCTCAACTTTATTAAAGTATTAAATACAAATAGAGTATTAGGTAAAAAATATAGTAGTCGATTATTCTCAAACATTTAAATCAAAGAAATTAACTTTTGATTATAGAGATGAACATGAATATTATGAAAATATTAGACGTAAAAATCGATAAGATTATATATTTGAAATATATTATGATGAATTTCAAATTTTTCTTTGTATTTCATTATTATTTAAGTTATTCATTATTCATAATGCTTCCTTAAATGAATTATTTCTAAAAACAAAATATTCTCTACCTGAAATGAATTTGAATAATTCAAAGTTTATATCAAATATTGAAAAGGTTACATTAGAATCTTATTTGTGGAGACCTTCAGTCCTTTCAACATTGACATCTTCAATTAAACATCTTAATATTCATTTGAGTGATCCATCAAAATTTCTATCAGATTTAATTCAATCAAAACCTCAACTTTTGTCTCTTACAATTCAATGTTTAAATGGAAAATTTTCTTTTTCAAATGATACTTTTAAATTATTTCCCAATTCATTAACTTCAATTAAATTTGTTTATTGTGATTTCTTAAAAGTCTCATCATTTGATGATTTTAAAATACCTTACACAATTAAGATTTCTTCAATTTATTAGTTGTAAAAGGTTGAATACTCAAATATTTCAGTCGCTACTTAATATTTCTACACCATTAAAAATTAAAACTTTAAAAGTAGTTGGTAAAATCAAAGGAATTACTTTATTAATTCAGAAAGTTGGTTCGTATTTAGAGCATTTAGAGTTAGACATTAGCAGTGCTTCAGACAAATATAAAACCACTGAAAGCATTGCAAATTATTGTGACAAAATTAAATTTTTATGCATAAGCTTCGATGAAGGAAATGAACTTTAATTATATAATATAATTGCTCATACAGTGCATACAAATTAGTCCTAACAAATATATTATTAAGCGGCCAATTTCGAAATGTCAATCTTTTATCACGTGATCCACTAAACTTGTAATATTATTAGTCCATGCTTATTCACGTGATAATATATTAACTGATCAGAAGTATGATAGAGACCCAGAAAAATTCCGATATCAAATCGTAAATTTTTATCACAATAACAGCAAAAATTCTGATAAAAAAATCGTTTTATTTATTACTATTTTGATTATTAAAATACATCATAGTAAGATATTTAAGTGATTCCAGACTTAAATTTTGCCTATCATCATCTAAAATTTTATTATACGCGAAAAAACTCCTTTCTACCGCACAAGAAGAGATTGGCAACCATATATAATTACGTGCTATTTTTTCTAAAAGAGGAAGTTGTAATGTAACTTTATCCCAAAATTCGTCCAGTTCAGAAAATTCAATAAGATTTAAATTGATATTAACATAAATTGACCATTCCTGAATAAGATATACTGATAGATTAACTAATTCTCTAATAATTTGATAGGAATAGATATCTCGATTAGCAGTTGTTAAAGATAAATATCGTAGATCAAAGACTTGAATAGCCCTAAATAATAAACGCGCAGGATGTTGTAATATATGATCTTCAAGTTTTTTGTAAGCTGCATGATACGCTTGTTGAAATACTGAACAAAATGATGATAAAGAAGAATTTAATCTTTGTAATATTGTATCTATAGTTGGTCCAAATTATTTAAAGTTTTTCCCATAATTATTCGTATTTTGAGTTGTTGTAATCTTTGTTCAATAAGAGGAAACATTGGTTTATTTTCTTGTTGAAAAAAATCAAGATCAGCTACAAATTGCTGTGCTTTATCCTGAATGAATGCTAAATAAATTTCTATTCGTCTATTAGATTGTTGATCTGTAAAGGCAAAATTTAATTTTTCAATTGTTGGTGTTGCATTTTCTTTGTTTTTTTCTTCATTATAAAACCCACGAATATAATCTAAATTTTGATATATATAAAATGCCATACGAAATCAGGTATTCCATCTTGTTGTATTAAATAGAGGTATATTTTTTGCATTAGGTACTCCATGGCGTCAAAGATATAATATATAGCGTACTTTTCGGCTTTACTATAGACAAAAGTTTGTTTAATATTTGCAAGTAATTGATGTACATCTTGAAAATAATTAAATGACACCCATGTTTCCCTAAAATATATAAATTATAAAGTTATTTTAAAAATACTTAATAATATACTTAAATAAATATGAATATAAAATA